GGGGCCAAAAAGTGCCCAGCCCCGCCATGTCTCAGTGCGGGGTGTAAGGGAGAATCACAGCCGGCAGTTGGCCCAACGCCGAGAGGAGAAGCAAGCGTTTGTCTCAGCGTCGCACCCAGAAAAATGTCTCTGGGCTCCGGTGCACTCCCTCCTCCTCCTCATCCCAGAGCTGCTTCCCCCGTGGAATGGAAGGCGGTGCCGCAGCTCCGAGGGTGGTTTGGTGGCAAGAGCAAGGCAGGCCTCAGCGCTGCTGTGACCTTCCACAGGGCTGGGAAGCTCCAGCAACGTCCCAGCAGGAACCAGAAGCCTTCTGAGAGGACCGTGGTGTTGGCACCTCCACGTCCTCCACATCACAGTGATTGATCAGAAACCCACCACAAAAGCGGGTGCAGAGCACACGGACCTTCCCCAGAGGCCAGAACTCCCGGCAAGCTCCCGCCGAGGGCTCCGGTGCTCCCTCCACCCCCGAGCGCCTGGGACAGTCCCGCAGCGCTGGCGCTCCCCGCTCTGGGGTGAGTCCCCCCCTTCCTGACCTCGCCGGGAGGCAGCAGATGAGTTTGCTCTGACCGCCGGCACGGCTGCCTTTGCTGAGGAAGAGGGAGGCACGAGAAGGGCTCTCCTTGCTGGACAGGTTGATGATGAAGCTGATGATGATGATGAACTCCGTACACAGATGCACAGAACCGTCCTTGCTGCTCCTCCAGCAGCATCTCGTGCTCTGCTTCACGCTTGCATCGCTTTTCACGCCTGTCTGAGGCAGCTTGACACTGACTTCAGGAATTACTGACCCAACTGGTGCATGCACCAAGGAGAGGAACAAGAAAAAGTTCAGCAAAGCTGCTTTGGTGTTGAAGGGTAAAACAAATGGATGGCGCCAAAGCGGAGGGTAACCAACCAGACACGTGGGACTTGAGGCGCAACCGACTTCACACTGCAGTGTTCTTACAGAGACAGAAAATATCCCTGTGGGAAGTGTGGGGTGGAGGAGACTTGTCACGGAATCCCAGAATCATCTGGGTTGGAAAATCCCTTGCAGCCCCTCCAGCCCAACCATGAGCCTCCCCCTGACCGTTCCCAACTCCCCCAGATCCCTCAGCGCTGGCTCAGCCCGACTCTTCAACCCCTCCAGGGATCCCGGGGACTCCCCCCTGCCCTGGGCAGCCCATTCCAACGCCCAACAGCCCCTTCTGCACAGAAATCCTTCCTCAGAGCCAGCCTGACCCTGCCCTGGGCAGCTTGAGGCCATTCCCTCGGGGCCTGGCGCTGGGGCCTTGGTTACTTGTCCCTTTGCACTCCACTTGAATTCAGTTTTGGACATCACGGTTTCCCTTCAGCACAGGACACTAAAGCCTTTCCCAGACCTCCAGGAGGTGCCGGGTCCCTCCGCAGCGCAGCGGTCCCCGTGCAGGCAGGAGGATGGGCCATCACCTGCGCCGTGTGAGCAGCCCCTGCCCAGCCGGCCGTGGGTCCTGCACCGGGCTCTGGTCAGATGACTGACGGGGTGTTCGCTGTCCAGGCACTGAGAGAGCGGGTGAAGGAACAAACAGATACAAAGCTGTAGGACAGCAAACAAAATCAGCAGCTGGAGGTGACGGTGAATCAGGAGAGGCAGGAGCCTTGATGCCCCTCAGCTGAACTCGCCCGGTCTCTGCTAGAGAGACAATTCAGGGGAAGCGTCTCTAGGAGAAACCATTGGCAGTGAAGGGACTGGACGACCCAAACCCACATTTCCAGAAATCCCACCACCCTCAGCTTCTCTCAAACCTCTTGGGCAAAGCTGTTCCTCCAGGGTGACAAGTGCTGCACGCTTGGCACTGCCTCCCACGTCCCTTGTGCCCCTTCCCTCCGGCAGCGCTCAGCACCGCCTGCCCCACCCGGGGCAGGGGCAGAAGAGGCGGACAACGCGCTCCCGGATCTGTCTCGTCCTCACCCCGTAGACGATGGGGTTGAGCATCGGCGGGACTACGACGTAGAGGTTGGCCAGGAGGATGTGAACGTGACTTGGGATGTGGTGGCCGAACCGATGCGTGAGAAAGGAGAAAAAGGCAGGCACATAGAACATGAGGATGACACAGAGGTGGGAGCCGCAGGTACTCAGGGTTTTGAGACGAGCCTCCGGGGACGGAAGGCGAAAGACCGTCCTGAGGATCAGAGCGTAGGAGACAGCGATGAGCACGACGTCCAGGCCGGAGGAGAGGAGAGCCGTCGTCAGCCCGTACCAGACGTTGGCTTTTATGTCGGCGCAGGCCAGGCGGGCGATGCCCATGTGCTCGCAGTAGGTGTGGGGCATGACGTTGTGCCCGCAGTACGGCAGCCGCTTCAGGAGGAAGATGGGGGGGAACATGATGCAGAACCCCCGGACCACAGCCGTGACGGCTATCTTCCCGATCACCGGGGGCGTCAGGGTGGAAGAGTAGCGCAGCGGGTCGCAGACGGCCACATACCGGTCGAACGCCATCGCCAGCAGAACGGAGGATTCCACGATGAAGCTGAAATGGGTGAAGAACATCTGTGTAATGCAGGCATCGAAGGAAATTTCCCTGGCACTGAACCAGAAGATGGCCAGCATTTTGGGCACCGTTGTGGTCGAAAGCATGAGGTCGGAAACAGCCAGCATGCCGAGGAAGAGGTACATGGGCTCGTGGAGGCTCCTGTCCGTGATGATGACGAAGAGGAGGACAGAGTTGGCAAAGACCGCGGTGACATACATCAGGCAGAAGGGGACGGAGATCCAGATGTGAGACTCCTCCAGGCCCGGGATGCCCGTCAGGACGAAGGTGATGGGATCGAAGCTGCTTTCGTTGAGCTCATACATGGTGCTTCAGAGCCGGGTGTCAGCCTGACCGCTCTGTGCAAGAGAAAGGATAAATAACGCCTGGTGAGCCTGGCATCAGCCCATGACCGCCTGCAGTGTGTACAAATGGGCGCAGGCAGTGTCCCGCTGGCCGCTGCCTTCAACCCGAGCCTGTTCTGATGCCAAGGGGTTCACTCACTCTGGTTTGCTGTACAACGGAATCTACCGCTCTTCTCCAGCAACCCTACAAACTGCCTCTGCAAGGAAAACCTCGGTCTCCCTCCATTTGCACCATGCAAAACAGGCCACATCCTCTTCTAGCCCCGCTTTATCCACTGTCACAGTGAGGCTTGTAAAAGTCCTAATTACCTGCCGCGTCGCTGTTGGCCGGCTTTATGTCTGCGTGCACCCGGAGAGCCGCCTGTCTTTGTTGGGACTGGGCGTTTCTTCAGGGAGGTGAAATAATACAATGTCTGGCTCTGTTCAGATCACAGAATCCCTGAATCCCCAAACCCTTCAGGTTGGAAAAGCCCCTCGGGATCAGCGAGTCCAACCCTCAGCCCAACTCCACAAAGTTCTCCCCTACCCCACATCCCCCACAGCTCATCCCAACGGCCCTGAAACCCCCCAGGGATGGGGACTCCCCCCTCCCTGGGCAGCCTGTTCCACTCTCGGACCACTCTTGCTGGGAAACATTTTCTCCTCCTGCCCAGCCTGACCCTCCCCTGGGGCAGTTTCCAGCCGTTCCCTCTTGTCCTGTCCCTGATCCCCTGGGAGCAGAGCCCAGCCTCAGCCTCTCTGCAATGTCCTTTTCAACTGACCAGCGGCCAGTTCATTTCTGAGAGCTCCTTGTACAAACCATTATGATGGAAATGAAAACCGTGCCGGTACCAGCACTGGTAAGTGTCTTGGACGCGGCTGACATTCAACTGCCACCCCTGAAGGCTGTGACCACCCCTGAACTTCTGCTGGACGTGCTACTCCCTGTATTTCCACCTGTATAAACACGTTCACCTGCTGGCAAACACCACAAAGTGCTTTTTGTGCCTCTTCCCCATCCCACTGGGAGTTCAGAGACCCAAACACTGGTGAACGCCAAAGGGGGAAGGGGAGAGCCAGGCTGGACCCCAGCCCAGGCCCAGACTTTCTGAATGACCTGGAGCAACAGGCGTACCCGGCAGTTCCCTGCTTTCCCCTTGTTCCCCTCCCTCTCCTCCATCAAGAGGGACAAAGACACGGTGGGCTGCACAGCACGATCCTTGGACAAAGAGATGCTGGCCCAAACGCGAGGCAACGAGCACTACCAGGGCGGCCGGGCCACAGTAACACCCCGGGGAGTCACCGCGAGCGCGGAGCCGGGCACTGATCTCAGCCAACGCCGGACGCTGCGCTCGGAGCTCACCCTCCTCTCTGCCCAGGTCTCAAGGCACCGGGGCAGCCGGGAAGGACTGGCCAGCCTGGGGGAATTTCTGCAGATTTGAATAACAAGAACAAGCCAAGCCTGCGGAGTCCTCTGCCATGGGAAAAGGGACCCTGCCCGACTGCTTCCCCCGTTCTGCCCTTGTTTGTAGCCCCCCATCCCCCGTGTACGCTCTGTCATACCCTAGAAAAGGCCTGGGCCGGGGTTGGGATGTAAGAAAACTCGTTTGATTTGGACCAAAGCTAAACCTTTGCTCTTCAGAGCTGCCCGCAGCCTGGTTTATTTTTATGGCAGACTGCAGGTGTCTAAGCCCACACCGTGTTTGCGTTTCTAAGCCTTTCCTTTGCTTGTCCTCTGTGAGCCAGAAGCCCACTGGAAACATCCGTCAGTATAGAAAAGATCTTCAGCTCATCGCAAATATTTATCCAATTGCCTCTTCCACTTTCAAACCCACATAATTCAACAGAAGTGAGTCAAGATAGGCTAGGTCTATCACTGTAAATTAAATCAGCCCGGGAGCATTCCCAGGCACCAGCGCCAGCCGATGCCCGACTGCGTCCAGTTTACAAAGCGCTTCATCCAGATCTTACACCTCTGGTTCTCAGTGAGATGGAAATACATCTCTCTCACGCGCTGCTTCACTTCCTTCCGTTCCTTTCAAACCAGAAAGCCCCAAACCCCAGTGTTCAATACAAAATGACTCACCACGGGCCAGCCCCAAAGAGGAACGAGGAACCTCAGCCCCGACCAGTGCAGCGAACCCTGCCTCTGCTGCCCAGGGCCGATGATATTAATCCTTCCCCTGCTGAAGCTGGGAAGGAACATCAGCCCCTTGGCCTGTACAAGTTTAAATTGCTAATGCATTAAAGATTAACAGCAGTTAACACTCCCAGGTGAGTCGCGGTATTTCCTGCTTTTCCATCATTTGCACTGCAGGTGTTTTTACTGCGTCCCTGCCTGGGCACCGGCTGCCAGGGCGAGGCCCTGAGGAGCCAGGCACAGCCCAGGCAGGGGAGCATCTCCCACGGCCGGCGCGTTTTATCCCCCACGGGGTGGAAATGGCCTCGTCAGACGGGTGAAACCTCCCAGAGCAGCCTCTGCGCTGTGCCCCTGGGGGAGAGGTCCCTCTGCCTGCCCACCGCCAGCCCGGGGTGGGTGATGGACCCAGGGGGGAGCTGCGGGCGCAGAGCTGCCTCCGTGGGGCTGCAAAGCAGAGAAGGATGCGGAGATCTCTGCCCAGACTGGACGGCTGGTCCAAGCTGGCGTCAGCCGGGAAACTGGAAACGCCGCAGTTGCATCGTTTATAACACACTGTTATTGCAAAATAATCTTTAAAGTACGTGAGGATGGAAAAAAAAAACCACAAAACAAAAACAAACCTGAAACAATAGCTCCATCTGTTCAAAGGATGCACAAAATGAATTAAAAGATGATCTGAAAATGCTTTGCCCGCAACCACTGAGTTGAAGATCCATCAGTGCAGCAGAGAAAAAGGTCTGAACACACAGGACTGCAGGAATTAACGATTTTTTTTCCATCCCGGGACCAAATCAAAATGATTGAAAGTAATTGTACTTCTTCTGATGAAACAACTGAGTATGAATTCCATATAACTTGCCCTGCAGCAAAACGTTCATCATTCAGTGGCTTCTTGTTTTGTTTCTGTGCCCTGGTGCCTCAGGCTCAGACACAACGCGTAACCGATGCAGGCAGACAGAAAAGAGAGGCCCCTCTGGTTTTGAGCAGCCAGAGATAAGTGTGGATCATCTCCCCCTGCCAAACCGCCCTGCCCTGCCCTGCCCGCCGTGAGCTGGGCCCCCGCGGCCGGAGCTGCGGATTTTACCCACCTGGGAAACACCCGGCGAGTTTTTGGATGCCACTTGCACCGTTAGTACCAGCCGCCACACGCGGTCCTGCCCAAGTCCCTGCGATACGTTTGCTCAGGATTTGTGGATTTGTTTCTGAAATATTGCAGTAATTCCCAGCTTAACACCTGCTGCCAGAGAGAGGCCAGATCCCCGCAGCGCCCACTGGGACGGGCAGGGGGGACACACGGATACCCCCGGGTCTGGGGGTTGCCCATGCCCCGGGGGGGTCGATGCCAGCCCCAGGGGATGGACGCTGGTGCCTCGTCGGGGCTTGGGCAGTCCTTGATGCCGGGGCTCCAACACTCCCGAGTATCTGGGTGTTTGCAGGACCCAGGACAAATCTTGAGGGGGGCTTGTGCGCCAGAAACCCCCCCCCCTGTGATAATCGTTCTCCCCCCAGAAAATGCCTCGTGTCCTGGCAGCCGCAGGCGCTGGAGATCTTTCCAACCCACGTGGCAAGCTCCTCTTATGGCTGTGGGGCTCTTAATTTCCTTTTCATTTCCCTACGGAACAGCACTGGCCCAAAGCCTTTCAGACCCAGGAAGAGCCCTTCGCAGCTGTAAGAAATGGGGAGGAATTGGGATTCCACAGATTTCACACCAGAGGGTATTTTTAAGAAAAGGTGGGGCACTCTCTAGCCACACACTAATCAAGGAAGAAGCTGAAAATTCAGGTCTCTTCCCAAAAATTGTCTCTACCGCCAGTGAGGGATAACACATCTCAACAGGACACTACAAAAATATTAAAGCTGCAGGTTAAAAATGTTTTCTCCTTGCCAAGCCTCGTACATTAGGGCAGACACCAGAGAAGAGCCCGGCTTGTCCTCTGCATCCCAGGGATCCAGCAAACGGGGGAACAACCAAACCCCAGCGGGGCAGCAGGCTGGGGTGCTGCCCTCCCGGGGGGGGCAGAAATGAAGAACGGTATTTATTACCGGGATCAGACACTGGGAAAACGTTCAGAAGTCAAATTCAGAGGTGAGCAACTTCCAGAGGGGCTGGAGTCTGCATCTCCGGGGATTTATAAGCCAGGTTAGGCAAACGCAGACCAGGAATGACTTAAAATTGGAAGTGGAGACAAACACAAGTCAGAAGTCTCCACCCTGGAAACCTCTATTTTGGATGCCAAGCAAGTTCTCCGCGCCGGCCCTGTGCAAGCGAATCCCTTTGTCAGTGTTATCTGATTCTGTCCCGGCTCTCGCCATCCCCTTGGGTCGGGCTGATGCCCAAGGAAACTCCATGAGGTGTCTTGGGTGTGTTACGGAGGCTCTCAAATAAACAATCAACCAGCAGAAGTTGAAAATTTATTGTCAACACCATTAACTAGCCCTCCGCAAATCACCGGTTTGAATGCCTGTGTGCGGAGAGCACAACCGCTGCCCGGGAGTCAAGGACGAGCCGAAGGCAGGACAAAGCCCCAGCCCGGGTTTAAGGCCCCCGACACGCTCTCACTCACCTCACAAGTGAGGGCGCTCAACCTCCAGGGCCCGCTCGGGGCAGCGTCCAGACCTAAGGCACCTCGAGGAGTCTCCTCGGGCGGCGGCCAGACCCCAGGGGAGAATCCTCGACCGCAGCGGCCGGTCCAGGGGACTCCGCTGACCCCCAGCCCCGGGCTGATCGGCGCTCCAGCAGCCCAGAAACCCGATTTTCACTTTGGGGGTGCTCCTGCCACACAATCCACGCCGTGGCTACAGCCATGACCCGGCTGGTTTCCTTCAAGTGCTGGTGCCGTCACCTTTTGCC